CTGCAAAAAAAAAAAAAAAAAAAAAAAGGAAGCTAGACATTAAATGGTCTCTAGGGTATCACACCTGATACTGGACGGTGACAAGGGCTCTACGAGATGAGATGAGAAGCCACGTGAGTACTTAAGACAATGACAGTCAACGGTTTAAATGAACGTAAACATTAAAACCCACACATCCTAATAGCTGTCCTTCAACACATTCTGCTAGGAAGCTGGAATTCACACCACCAGTTTGAAAGGCTGCCTCAGCGTCCTAAACGCAGAAATGGTGACCTGACCTGGCTGTCCTGATTGTTTACCAAAACCACTTCCAACCTGGGAGGTTAAAGAATCCTGACCACCAGGGAGAAGATGGAGTTTCATCGTTGGCCCCAAAGCCCCCTGGGAGAACAGCGCCATCACCGACACAGGTTCAGGTCCAGCCGCCGAGCCCAAGAGCATGAGCTGCTCCCCTGATCCTTCTTCCAAACAGCCTAGTGTCCGGCTCTGCCCACTGTTGCGTTTTTAATCTCAGATGTGAAGTCAATTAGGACAAATCTGGTTTTAAATAGGCCCCAAGACAGGCTTCCTGGATTTGAGAGCATTTTTTCAGCATAAAATTTTCCAGCATCAGATTTTAAAAAGAAGAAGGGCTCTGGAGTCAAACTTTTATCTCTGAAACCTTGATTAACTTTAACAGACCAAACAGAGGCTTCACCCTTGGCCCACACGCATGGACGGGGGTGGAGAGCATCCAACGTGCAGGGATGGGAACGCCCCGCGCCCCCGGGGAAAGGACCACAGGGCGCCACCACATTCCTCTATGCCCTCCATCCTGCTGGCCAGCCTGCCTTCCTCCTTGGGACGTTTCTGTGGCTCCCGTTACTCTATTTTTATCCAGATGCCAACAACCAGGTCCTGGAAAAACTTTATGAGGAATCTACCATGTTCTTTCTGTTTCAATGGCGCACAAACTTTCCCCTGCTGCTTTACTCCCTTAGAAAATAAAACAGAAGACCAGGGCAAACCTCTAGGTCATGTGGACTTAAGAACAGACTTAAATGTACTCTAAACATATCCACGAGTTATGCAGCAAACACTACACCATTTGCTACGTAAGCGCGCTGTTCCATTCGTGGCCACAGAACCCCGTCAGTCCACTGGTGCCAGCCTGGAGACAGAGTCAAGCTCTCGGGAGAAAAGGTCCTTCCCTTATTAAGAACATCAGGATCAGTTTGTTTTTCGATAGAATTTAGGTTTGGGGTGTACTTTCTCTTTACGTGTTTCCTCAATTTCTCTTGCTCCAATTTTCTCTGATGCTCCAGGAAGTTTAAAATTATAATCTGTTGTGATGTAAGGTATCATCCCTTCGAGCCCACGCTGAAATGGAAACACAGAGAAAATACTGCAAATCCAGCCAAGACGGAAGACAGTGTTAAAAGTGAGAGTCTAAGGAAGGTCCTCTCACTCCTAAGACACTCGGCTCCGCTCCCCTGGAAGGGCCCACTTACAATTCAACCCCACAAACACATCAAACAGCATGAGAATGGGGGTGGGGACTTCTCTCTCAAACGGGCAGAACGAGCCGGTGGGGAGGGCCTCCCCAGCTGCCCGCAGGTCCTGCCATTTGGTTTGGGGCCACACGGATGCCCTTGGCCAACGTGACCCTCCAAGGCCTTCCCACGGGGACCCCTGAAGACTGTCTTCAGGGAGGGCTCATCGTGGGGATGCCACCTCTGCTCTTTTCTCCCACACTCATGTCTGCAATGACGGCTCCACCACGGGGCTCCTGGCCGTGCGTGATGGCGACTCTGGGCCCCAGACCTTTAGGCCACGCGGACACACCACCACGGAGTGTAAGCTTCCCAAACAATAACCTGCTCCCCCATGACTCTCGCCCCGACTTTAGGCCCCCACTCTCTACTGTGGACACGGCCAGAGAGCTCCAGGGCTGCCCCCGGGGGCCGTACTCACCTGGCTCTTGAGAACACACTGTGGAATGGAAATGGTTCCAACCAGCAGACAGTTCACGTTTCTTAGCTCTTCCGGGGGCACAGGAGTGAGGATGTGGTAAAGCCTCTTCTCCATGTCGATCCCTCTACAAATTCCTTGAAAGCACACAAAACACACAAAAATCACCCTCTCTGGAAGATATCAAACTTCCCCACCGCTCGGAACTGTAGAATGGTTTTTAAAATAAGAGTTTCAAGTTCAACTGTGTTTTGCTTTAAAAATACAAAGTGGCATATCTGAATATCTGAAGACTCTTGGTACCCTTCTCCTTGTTCAGCTGTGAGAAACCCAAGTCCTACACTGTCTTAACTAAGGTGCACCTGGGCCAGGGAGAAACCCACCGGTGGGGAACGCAAAGATGACTCAGCCTCTCCCCACCACCAATCCCTTCTTTACGGTCTGTACTAAAGCATACGAGTTCTGTGGAAATGCTTTTGAGAAGTTCAATGTTGTATAAATCAAGAACACATATTAACTAAGGGTTTTGCTAATCCTGAGGTGTGTAGGCCCAGCCCCCTTCCAGAAGTATACACTGACAGTTACTGATCTCAGTGAGCCGGGGGACGATCACGTGAGGCAGGTGTGGTGAGGGGGGCAGGGACCCAAGGCTGCCAGGCACCATGAGGCTGGGTCCACATGCTGGACCTGTGCGAAGGGATGCACCAGGATGCGGTGTGATCTCGTATGTGCTCAAATCACCCCTGACCGTGGGGAGTCCAGTTACACAGCTTCTCCACTAGTCCAGGGCAAGAAATGAGACGGGCGTGGTGAGAAGAGATGAGATGGAGGAGTCTGACATTCTGAAAACGAGACTACCAGGCCTGCGAGTGGGCTGGATGTGGAGAATGAAAGCAAGGGGGTGCCAGGGAGGACCCAGGGGCCTGACCCAAACACCAGAGTAAATCTTCAAAGGACTGTTCATGGCCTGGGAACTGGGGACGGTACGGGCTAGGGGGGGGAGATCTGGGGAGGACATCAGGGAAGGGGTAGATGGACCTATCAGGACTCAGTTTGGGACCCAAGTCTTAGGTGCCAGTGAGACATCCAAGCGGAGAAGTGCAGTGGTCACATGGGCTTGGAGCTCTGATGCACCGTTGTGCTGGTGAGACCCCACGGATGTCAGCCGAAGGTGGACTCAGAGCCCCAGCAGTGGGTGGGAGGGCCCACGGAAAACATGTCAGATGAGGAGGAGGCCGTGACCAGGCCCTTAGGAATCTTGGAGGAGCTGGCAGGAGAAACAGAGAAAGAACTGCCTCCTTCCTGCCCTCCAGCCCGCAGAGCCCGCTATACAGAAGACAGGGAAGCTAAGCTCTGGCCACTGCAGCCAAGTGACAGCGACAAGGTCAAGCCCAGCCATCTCCAGTTGAAGAAGCGGGTCAATTTCAGTAGGTTTGCAGACAGGTGTGTCCCTCTCAGACTCACCAAACCCCAAACAGTCACAGATGGGCGTCTGGGCAAGCAGGATGGGCCCACTTGCATATCCTCTGACATCATCCAGGATCTTGCAAAGCCCAACCCAGCTGGCATTCACAGCGTATAATATGTGGGTAGGAGCGACATCAGCGTGGATAATCCGGAGTGCGACGGCATTGAAAGGGACCTGAAAGATACATGCGCATCCCCCTTGATGAATTCTACTTGAAAGACTACTTTCAATTTTTACAAGTTGACTCACCAGCTATCTGAAGTTCTATCTGCCGAACCACCTACCAAGAAATATCTAAACAGAATGCAAACACCAACCAGCATTTGCTTAGTGCTCCACCGTTCTACTACAGAGAACCCAGGAGACTTACACAGAGCTCCAGTATACCAGCAACACCCGCTAGAAATCTAAACTGAATGCCTGGAACTTTGTCTACAGAGACACAATGAGATGCAAGTTTGGAGACATCCTACATGAGCTGAAGTTGAGGGAGGGAGACTATGAAAACCCCTCACTGAGAGGTCTCCTGATGGGAGAATGTAAAAATCCATTCAGCGAGAAAAAGCCTCCATTCACTCCCTAATTTAACTATTGCAATAAGAAAAATGGATTGCATTCCCGGAGCACGAGGTAAATAACTACCTTTAACATGTTAACTTTCTGGGTAATTTCAAACTTTTAAAGTAGAAAAACTTTTTTTTTTTAATTTGTTTTTGGCTGCGTTGGGTCTTTGTTGCTGCACATGGGCTTTCTCTAGTTGCAAGAAGCAGTGGCTCCTCTTCATTGCGGTGCGTGGGCTCTAGGCACTTGGGCTTCAGTAGTTGTGGCACGTGGGCTCAGCAGTTGTGGTTCATGGGTTCTAGAGCACAGGCTCAGTAGTTGTGGCGCACGGGCTTAGTTGCTCCATGGCATGTGGGATCTTCCTGGACCAGGGATCGAACCCGTGTCCCCCGCATTGGCAGGCGGATTCTTAACCACTGCGCCAGCAGGGAAGTCCCCCTCACATTTGTTTTTGAAGCCTAAATAATATGTATAACAAAATGCTTTTCTGGGGACGTCGTGCCACAACTACTGAAGCCCATGTGCCACAACTACTGAAGCTCATGCCCCTAGAGCCTGTGCTCTGCAACAAAAGAAGCCACCACAACAAGAAGCCCACACACGGCAACAAAGAGTAGCCCCCGCTCACCGCAAGCAGAGAAAAGCCTGCGTAGCAACGAAGACCCAATACAGCCAAATAAATAAAATTTAAAAAAAACTGTTAAAGGGCTTCCCTGGTGGCGCAGTTGTTGAGAGTCCGCCTGCCGATGCAGGGGACACGGGTTCGTGCCCCGGTCCGGGAAGATCTCACAGGCCGCGGAGCGGCTGGGCCCGTGAGCCATGGCCACTGAGCCTGCGCGTCCGGAGCCTGTGCTCCGCAACGGGAGAGGCCACAACAGTGAGAGGCCTGCGTACCGCAAAATAAATAAATAAATAATAAATAATAAACAAACAAACAAACAAATAAATATAAATAAAAAACTGTTAAAAACCAAATGTGAATTTATAACAAAAGGCAGTTTAAATTATTGGCAGCTAAGTTTCACGTTCAGTTACAGAGCGTTGTCAAGTGAGTAAATTGCAGTAAATCAACCAAATCTCCATTAAACCAACTGCCTTAGCTTCTTCAGTGGAGATGACTTGGAAGCCTGGAGCCAATCTCTCCATCAGGCTCAGGAAATGCATCCTTGCCCCCCAGGTCACAGCCCCTGCCTGTGCAACCTCAGGCCAGTGTGTCCACCTGGCTGTGCCCGGTTTTCTACGCTGTAAGTGGGGTCTGTAACAGCACCTCCCTGGCAGGCTGCCACCCCAGGTAACGTTCTCGGCAGAGCGCGTGGCACAGCGGGTGCTCAGCACTGCACAGGCCACACAGCAGAGCTGAGTACCCTGGGCTCTAGAGTCAGGCCGCCTGGGCACCAGTCCCGGCCCAAACTTTTACTATGGCCCTTTGGGCAAGCTGACTCAGTGCCCCTGGCCTCAGTTCTGCCATCTGTAAAGTGGGGATAATAACAGCGCCTCGGTGAGTAAAGGAGTTAACCCAGGCTTAGAAGAGAGCACAGCACAGGCTGAGCACTTAGAAATGCTACCTGTTGCTGTTTTATTCTGTCATCATTTGGAATCCTAATGTTACAGTGGTTTCTTCCCAAATGAATTTCTTCAGAGGTTGGAATCCAGGATGCATATACCCTAGTGCCAGAATCTACTTGCGACGATATCTGAAACAGTTTAAGAGTGTTCTCCGGGTGCCAGGCCCTGCTGTGAGCACTCGTGAAATCTGCATAAGCGTTCTGCGAGGTCTGGCACCGCTGTTCCCAGGTGAGAGCCCAAGTTGCACCCAGCCAGTCAGTGCAAGGGCAGAGATGGGCTACCAGGGTGTAATCCCAGCGCCACCTCTGGTATTAGTAGAACATTCTTAGCCAGGATGGAACCAGAGTCAGGCCCAGCAGAGCAGTGAAGAGCTCGGCTCTGGAGCTGGGCTGCCTGGGTCTGCGGCCAGCTATGCCATTCACGCTGGATCACTCAGCTCCCATCTGTAAAACGGGGACAGTCACCAAATCTACACCATAGGGCTGCCCTGAGGACTAAATGAGCGAGGCGCTATGAAGTGGTCAAAGTGCTCTTGGCACACAGGCATAGGCATGTTTAAGTAACCCAAATAAAGAGAATTCCAAGAGTTCAGATCACCTGATAGGGTGTCAGACCATGTAAGGGACACAGTGGCTTTGGCACTGGGGGCTGCAGCTGGCCAAGGTAACTCAGCACTGCCAACTCGCGAAGGACTTTGTTATGTGATTCTCTGAAAAGTAAATCACAACGAGGTAAACAGAGATTTAACCTTACAGGCCCACCTCCCACTAGAGACATCACACAGATTCTACGCACACAGCCCACGTTCCAACCTTAGCATCTGAAGACCCTGCCCTTCCATAACCCCCCTGGAAATCCTTCAAGTCAAAGGCCCTGGCAAGCACCTGGAAGCCAATTCTGGATGTTTTCACTGGGAAAGTAACCATTCAGAAAATAACTGACTCTCCTTCATAAATAGATAGCTGTGACAGAGATCTGAAAAATTTTAGAGGACTATTCCTCTGAAGGAATTGAGGACAGAAGGCCATATAAGACTGAAGAAAACTAACTTCTCCAGCCATGATGCTTTGCTTACCTATTTCTTGGAGTTTTTCCAGACACAAACTCCGACTTAACGGACATCAGTTTGTATCCAGTAAACAGAACTGGATTCTCCTTTTCTTCGTCAGCAAATTCTAAATTGTCTGCAAATTCTGCCAGGTGGAATCCTCTGTTTCTGACTTTGGACGTGCTCTTTGTGTACAAGCCATCCATGTTGTCCACGTAGCTTGGGCTGAGGTCTGGCATGTACCTACCCCGGTCAGAGTTGAACTGAACGACGTGGCTGGGCGACAGCAGTCGGATCAAGTCAATAAGAAGCAGGAGACCCTGGTCTACGAGGAAGGAGACCATGGGAGCACAGTTAGTGCACAGAGAGGCGACGCACTCCTGCAAGAAGCTGGACTGCTTCTGAGACAAGGAATTGCCCCAAAACTGGGCTTCGGCACTAATGTCTGGAAGCCACGCACTTATCCCCACTGCCCAACCCTCCCGACCAACCCATGCACCTCGGCGGGCTTACCTGCCACCCAGCCCATCGTGTTGACGATAAGAGGGGACTCTCTCTTGTAGGAGCTGAACACATACTTTATTATCTCAATATAATTTTCAAAGCTGTTTTTACAAGAAGGCTTCCCATAATAGACCATTTTCTGGGGTGTCCTCTGGTGGGTGAAAGGTGGTCCTAAGAAGATAAAGATGAGCATCATCGATCCGGGAAAACCTAAGAGGTGGCGAGGGTTTTGGTCCAGCCATCGTCACTGACGAAGCTCCCCAGGAAAACTGAGTCCATCCTACCACTAGGAATAGCTGTGCTCCTACTTTCGGAAGTCTAAGCTTTCAAGTTCATACAAAGACACGCTCACGATTACATACAGTTAACCCCAACTAAGTGCTAATACAGCCGCTCACTCGACAAACATTTACCGAACACCTACTGAATGCTGGGCATTGTCCTAGATACTTAGGACATTTCTGTGAACTGAACAAACATCCCTACAGGGCTTACACACTAAGGAAATGACGATTAATAACAGCAGCAGTCACCTGTTGAACTACAGTACTTACAATGTCCTACGTATGCTACACACACAGTCTCTAGTTTCCATAAACACCCTGTGAGACAGGTAGCATTACTTTCCCCATTTTTACAGACAAGGAAATTGAGAAAGAGATTAACTTGACCAAGGTCACACAGCTAGTAGAAATCAGCTGGACTTGAACTCAGGTGGTCCAGCTCCAGAGCTCATACTCCCTAATCACAACAGCAGTCTGTCCATCCCCTCTGGCTGGGGCCAGCGCCCACAGCAGACAGGTGGCCAGGACGACATCGCAACACAGTTGGCAGGGCAAGGGCCTTGGTCAATGCGGCTGGGGCGAGGCCCCCCTCCAGGTCGGGGCCAGGGGATTCGGGGCAGCCCACAGCAGAGAGGGTGGCCTGCGTGGTCGAGGGACTGAGCCAATACAAGGGGAAGGAGCAAATATGTAAATATACTGAGAATAACAGCAGCCAGGGTTCTTAACATCAGAGAAGGAACTTATAAATATGGAAGGGGGAAGGCTACCTAGAATGAACCCTGGGTGCTAGATTAGAATCGGAATGATCAGTGCGGGGAACTCCCTGGCGGTCCAGTGGTTAGTACTCCACGCTTCCACGGCAGGGGGCCCAGGTTCGATCCCTGGTCGGGGAACTAATATCCCGCAAGCCACGTGGTGTGGCCAAAAAAAAAAAAAAAAAAAAAAAAAAAAAAAAAAAAAAAAAAAAAAAAAAAAAAAAAAAAAAAAAAAAAAAAAAAGAATGATCAGTGCAAACTCATGGCTCTTAATAAACAGACAGATACAGAAAGACATAGAAATACGTGTGTGTACATATATGTGCGCACACACATATTATATACATACATACATGACATGCGTGGGTTTAAGCATATGCATATTCCCTAACTCTGTCCACGGAGAGGATCTAGAAGAAATGACACCCAGAAGAAGATAAAAATAGCACACCTAGTTAGAGTGGAAAACCCTGGCAAACACTATCTTAACCAATTGATCAAAGCTAACATGTCTGGCAACAGGACAAACTGACAGCATGTTGATATGACACACAGAGAACAGCGTCACTTCTAAATCGAACCACGGGGGAGCCTACAAATGTACCCTTCGAATTGTCAAGGTCATAAAAGAAAAGAAAAGCTGGAGGAACTGTTCCAGACTAAAGGGGACTAAAGATTTCTAAGTACACACTGGGCCTACACAAATGATTGGAACAGTGGACAAAATCAAGTAACCACACTGTAGCAACGTTACTACCCTGATTTTGGTGGTTGTATTATGATTACACAGCAGTGTCCTTGTTTTTAGAAATACCCACTGAAATACTAAGGGATAACAAAGGAAAAAAAATTACATGAAGTAGAGAAAATGTAAAAGAGGAACAATGAAAGCAGCTAAAGAGCTGAGTCTAAACAATTTTTTTTTTTTGGCTGCGCTGTGTGGCTTGCAGCATCTCAGTTCCCAGACCAGGGACTGAACCCAGGCCATGGCAGTGAAAGCCTGGAATCCTAAATACTAGGTCACTAGGGGACTCCCCTAAACAATTATTATTATTATTATTTTTTAGCATCTTTATTGGGGTATAATTGCTTTACAATGGTGTGTTCGTTTCTGCTTTATAACAAAGTGAATCAGCTATACATATACAGGCATCCCCATATCTCCTCCGTCTTGCATCTCCCTCCCACCCTCCCTATCCCACCCTAAACACGTATATTTTAGAAAGCTGTTAAAATAAAGTAAATGTATTTAAAAATTCTTACTGACTAAAAGTGTGTTAAAGCTAATATATCTAGCAACCTAATGGGATACTGTCTGCTTCCTTTAAAAATCAACTTAACGAAAGGCACACAATTACCTGAACAGAAACAGAAAAAGCCTTTGACAAAATCCAACATCCTCCCACGATAAAGAACATTCCACAGACTAGGAATAGAAGACAACTTCTTCAGCCTGACAAAGGTAAAGTGAAAAAGCCACAGCTAACGTTTTGCTTAATGGTAAAAGACTGTATGCATTACCTCCAAGATCAGGAACAAGAAAATGATGTTTACTCTCTATTCAACATTGTATTAAAGGTTCTAGCCAGAGCTACCAGACAAGAAAAAGAAATAAAAGGCATCCAACTTGGAAATGAAGAGATAAAACTATCTCTATTCACAGATAACATGATCTTCTTATATATAGAAAATCCCAAAGAATTCACAAGAATGCTACTAGAGGTAATAAAGGAATTCAGCAAAGTTGCAGGGCACAAGTCACTTTTGTGCAAAACACAAAAGTCAGTTATGTTTCTATACACCAGCAATTAGCAATATGAAAAGGAAATCAGAATAGCAATTCCATTTACAATAACTAAAAGAATTAAATCCTTAGGAATGAATCTAACCAAGGAAGTAAAATACTGCTTAAAGAAATTAAAAACGGAGTTTCCCTGGTGGCCCAGTCGTTAAGAATCCGCCTGCCAATGCAGGGGACACGGGTTCGAGCCCTGGTCCGGGAAGATCTCACATGCTGTGGAGCAACTAAGCCCGTGCGCCACAACTACTGAGCCAGTGCTCCAGAGCCCGTGAGCCCCAGCTACCGAAGCCTGTGTGCCACAACTACTGAAGCCCGCACGCCTAGAGCCTGTGCTCTGCAACAAGAGAAGCCACCGCAATGAGAAGCCCGCACACAGCAACAAAGAGTAGCCCCAGCTCTCAGCAACTAGAGAAAAACGGCGTGCTATCAAAGACACAATGCAGCCAAAAAATAAATTAATTAAATTAAATGAATGAATAAATTTATTTTAAAAAAAAAGGGACTTCCCTGGTGGTCCAGTGGGTAAGACTCTGTGCTCCCAATGCAGGGGGTCTGGGTTCAATCCCTGGTCGGGGAACTAGATCCCGCATGCCACAACTAAGAGTCTGCATGCCCCAACTAAAGATACCCCATGCCGCAAGGAAGATCCCGTGTGCCGCAACTAAGACCCATGACCTGGCGCAGCCAAAATAAATAAATAAATATTAAAAAAAAAAAAAAGAAATTAAAGAAGACCTAAAAAATTACAGACCGAACACAATCCCTATCAAAATTCTAATAGCCTTTTCCCCAGAAATGGAAAAGCCTATTCTCAAATTCATATGGAATTGCAAAGGGTCCCAAAAGGCCAAACAATCTTGAAAAAGAATAAAGTTGGAGGACTCACATTTCCCAACTTTTAACCTACTACAAAGGTACAGTAATTAAAGTGTGGTGCTGGCCTAAGGGCAGACATAAACCAAAGGAATGGAACAGAGTCCAGAACGATTTTCAACATGGGTACCAAGATCATTCAGTGGGGGAAGGACAACAAATGGATATTGGAAAACTGGACATCCACGTGCAAAAGAACAAAGTTGGACCCTTCCCTTGTATCATACACAAAAATTAACTCAAAATGGATCAAAGACCTAAGTGTTAGAGCAAAAACTGACAAAATTCCTAGAAGTAAGAAATTAACATCCAGAATATATAAAGAACTCCTAAATTCAACAAAAACAAACAACCCAATTCAAAAATGGGCAAAGGGGGACTTCCCTGGTGGCACAGTGGTTAAGAATCCACCTGCCAATGCAGGGGACACAGGTTTGAGCCCTGGTCCGGGAAGATCCCACATGCCACAGAGCAACTAAGCCCATGCGCCACAGCTACTGAGCCCCCGTGCCACAACTACCGAAATCCGCACACCTACAGCCCGTGCTCCGCAACGATAGAAGCCACTGCAATGAGACGCCACTGCAATGAGACGCCCGTG